ATCGGATAAATGACCACCGATGTTTTGAAATTCATTATTACATTAAATTTCTTGACATTCAAGAAACCTTAATGCTATACTGATCTTAAAAACAATTACAGATATCACGACATTGTCAATGAGCTTACTGTTCATACATGCATCACTGACGTAAATAAATATGGGTCAGACTAATTATGCTATAATATTAGTAAACGAACAAAAAATGTCATACATTTTTTTTTTTAATTCTACCAATAACATATGGCTAGTGAGGGGAATATACAAGTCATTTGTTTTATTTAATGTCACTAATTTAAACATTTAAGGTCACTAATTTAAACATTTAAGAAAACAATTATTTAAAAAAAAAAAATATTTGTCTGTCAATTGCCAAACTTTTTTTTTTAAAGAATGTTGAACCATATGGTTTGCTGATTTTTCTTTAGATAGATTTGAATTAGAATTTAATTTTAAAAAAAATTAAATTCATATTGGTTTAATAATTTATGTAATTTATAATAGTTAAAGTAATGCACATATTTTTAGAGATATTCTTTAAGATTCAAACAAACAGTACTTTTATCGCCAACTACATTGTAGGTACACCAAATACACCGTGTGTCAGGCGACTTAATTCAGGCATAACGCACATTAATTCTTCAAACTCCAATTTACTTATCTATTTATTTGCTGAAAGACAAAACAGAGAATATAACCACTCACATAACATCGACGAAAACGATATGAAATTCTTTAACAATTCAATATAGGCAACCTGTCGAAAAGCCCGCGCTAACTGAAAATAGTTCGCTTACAATATGCATTCAGTAGCGTATGTGCACAAATTGTTATATCACGATTACCCTAATAAAGTAAATATCTAATTCCTCTTTCAATTTAATTCTCAAACAAAAATATTGATCAATTAACATTTCCGTATATTGAGATGTTAAAAATATTTGTTTAAGTATTGTCTTTTAACGTGACTATTTTATTTATCGGAAGCGTCTGCTTTGACGCTGTTAGGCTTTTTGTTTACTTTTCTGAACGTGCTATTTATAGTAAGGCAGTTGATCACGATGCCTACAGCCAGGACTTTGCTTTCAGCAAAGCCCGGCTAAAAATCTCAAACCCGATCTAAAACGCGTTGACAAAGTCAAACCAGACGGTTTTAGTTTTTACGGCATTTTTATAGTGATATGAGAAAAGTCGGATAATTGCTGTTAATTTTAAGAAATAAAGTTCGGCATTTTTCAACCTCGTTCGGTATAATATAATTTACTGATAATTTTTTCCGCTAAGGAGGAGCACATGGACGAAGGATAAAAAAAGAGGTATTCTGCATGTACATGTACACATCATTGCTATAATTGTGTCCTCGGGATTAAACCCAAAATCCTTCGTTACATTGTATTTGGGTATAATTTTCACATGTTCTCAGGCGGATAATCATTTATTTTTGTCTGTCTAAAGACAATAATTTCAGTTAATAGAGAAATGTTTTTATTTCGTCGTTTTTTCCCATCCTTTTGGTTTACACAAAAGCGTGTGTTCATATACCGCTGTTTCTACACGCTATCGATGTGATCAGGGAGTACATGATATCCTCCAGCAATTTACTTCTTATGAAAACACTCAATGAAAACGTATTAGGTGAAAATATATACACCCATTAGTATCTTAGTACCTTAGTATCGACCTGTTTAATTGCAATGTCACCAACCGTAACGATCGCTGGCCAGGACTTGAATATAATTTATTACCGTTATTAAAACAACTCGTCAGCTGAGTGGACCTATGATTTAAACAGTAAAATAGGGAAATTCCAGAGTTCGAAGTGTATTTATTTTGGGCGCTCTTCCGCATAAACAAATTAAATCGCATTTACGCGTACTTACATGCATGTACCAAAAATTTGTGTCATGGGTAAATTCAATTTATTAGATGAAATAAAACAAATGCATAAGATTAATCTTCCTAAACAACACGTTTTTAAAACAATCTATCTGATATAACTGACGGTATAAAATAACAAAGAAAATAAAGGGTTTGTGTTTGTATTTAATTTGGAATGAGAACAAATCTTAACCTGTCAAATAACTTATAAAACATACTTCGTTTTCCAGACACTAATTGCCATGCGTAATCTTCACATGCACTGACCAAGAGGTCACAAGTTTGAAATGTATGGCTTCTCATTGCGTGAGTTTTGTCAACACATGTCGGAGTAGACTATCTAAGCCAATTGATTCCCAAAGAAAACTGCATAGGAAGGGTTCTTTTTTGGTACACTTTTTAACGGGTAAAATTCATTCGACGCTCGATAGAATTCTCAAATACAAGTGAAATATTGAGGCGGTTAAGTTACATGCGTCCGACCTAGTATTTTGTATGCAATAATATTGTAAGTTAGGAAGAAAATAATACAAACTCAAAAGTACTTAATTTTATTTTCGATTTTCCTGACAATTAAAAATGTGACCTCTACATACAATTATCGTTTTTAATTATATACATCCTGTTTAATGTTCATGAAGAAATAGCAACTCGTTAAATAATAACATAAGAGAGATAAATAAACTGTTTCTTTAATACGCAAAGAAAGTGGTCTTTTCGGCATTCAAAATGCATTGAATTTGAAGTGAATAAGTGAAAGGCACTTAAGACTAGCTGATTAAAACGAGCGAGTGATAATTAAACAGTAAGACGGAATCATATGAAAGATTCGAAATGATTTTAAAGTAATTTTCCACAAAGCGCAATTATCTCAACAATGCAATGTTTATAAGAATAAATATGCAACTTTCTTGTAATTGAGCGAATAAAATATAAATCGAAATGTACTAGCGACTTAATCAAAGATATGAAATAATCTGAAAGATTCAACATATTTATCCACTCATCACTTAGTTAAAATGTATTTGGAATGGCCATTCTATGGTTTGTTTTGTGTATGACCTTAGGTCGCTGGTTCACATGCCGATTGATCCTCGGTGACCTCCTTTGCCACGCGCTATCGAGGGAGGGGTTACATAATTGTAAACACACGAGGTGAATGTAAAAGGCGTGTACTTAATGGCTGTGAATAGTCTATGTTTGAAGTTTTGTTTTATTTTCTAACTTTATTGTTTGTTTTTATATGATAAGAAGAAAAGGTTATCTTTTTTTCCCTGTTTAGTAGACTGGTTTATCCAAATTTGAAAACAAACGAAATAAAAGGGAAAGTTGTCAGTAAATAATTTGGAAATAAAGCACAAAATACTTCAAAAACCTGATTCTAAAGAATATTAGCATCTAATATAGCAAGGTTTATTATTTATAGTAAGTTTATTTTAATTACACGCATGAAGAGCTCTTGTTTACTTGCTGAATGAAAACACTTACCTGTATATGTGTTATATTTCTAGCTCATTTAGAACACAAGACTCAAACAAAAAAACATTTTCTTGAGATCAATAAGATGTTAAATAACAACTTTAATTACGGCAGCTATTTCGAAATATTTACCGTTTTTGAGTTATAAAGCAAAAACTTTAAAGGGCCCCAGATCCCTAATTTTAGAGGCCAGACCCTTTTTAGTGGTCTCAAATGAAAGGCCTTAAAATTATGCACAACTTTTATTCTACATGTTTTATCAAAATATTTTTAGTTCAGAAGATAAAAAGGAAAATATGTGTAAATTTTCGCTCTTTTTGGCGTTCTAATTTTTGACCCCTCTCTAGCACCATTTTGAATACAGAAATTGAAAAACAAAAACCGATGTGCACAACTTCAGTGCTTCTATTATTTAAATTCGGTAGAATTTCTACTCCAGCTTCAGTAGTCTCTGAGCCTTTGTCTGGAAATGAAGCCTAGTAAATTTTCATTTAAAGGGAGATAACCCAAAAGCGGAAGTGGGTTTTTGAAATGTTTGACAGCATTCTGATAGAATTTTGTAACGTCTTTAAACCCTGCAAATTTGAACAAAATCCGTTGAGAAAGAAGCAAGATATGAGGTCTCAAAGTTGGCGTCTAGGAAAAAAAAAAAAGAATAATAAGAATAATCTTAACCATCAGAATCAGTAGAAGGTCTTCCGCCTGGAGCGGAAGACCTTAATGAAATATTTCAGCCAAAACACGACCCAAAGGTAGGTTATTTTTGTAAACAGCATACATGTGATAAGTCAAAGACCACAAAACTGTACAGGAGCCACAAAAAAACTGGAATTTGGGTGAAAAAACTGTACACTGCCTATCAAAAAACGGTACAAAAAATGGTATAAAATATCGCTTAAATTCTTCTGAAATTCCATCGTAATCATTGTAATAAACATCGTATATTTTATACCTAGTACGAAGATCTGGGTCAGATTCACGTATATTAAGTCATGTATATCAAATTTAGAGGTTGGCTTAATTTTTTTCAATCAAGTTACGTATACGAAACATTAACAGTAATTAAGTACCCCTTAAAAAATAAAGCTACCTAAAGGGGTATTTGATACGAATTTATAGCAAGATAGTTATCCCAATTGGCAGTTCACACCTTCGCACGCGATGGTTTGTGTACACTACACAATTATCATCAGGTCAAGTGTCAACACAGGTGACGTTTTCCAGTGTCTCGCGAGCGAGAATGAGAGGAAAATGGAGGCATTTAGCGAGAAATTCAAAATACTGTACAAATTTTCATATTCCGTGAATTTTGGTGTCCCGCCGGTACACGATGAATGGGCTCGAAAAACTGTACATTTTGCGTACAGCCTGTACATATCACATGTATGAAACAGGGACATTATAACGACCATACAATTTGCGAATTGCTGACTTTAAACGAGATTATCGAAAGCAATGCGGCAGTAACTTATTTGTCAGTATTTTGCCCCGGTTTCAAAATTGACTGTACCCAGAACCAGTTTTTGCGTATCAAATCAGTTGAAAGAAACAATAAGGGAGAAAAATAAGTAGGCATTTATTGTGAAGAAAAATAAATATATGGATCATGTATCAAAGAATTATATCTGATTTGACGTCTGTCACATTTTAAGTTTTTTGAAAAATAACTACGATAATAATGATGTTGATGGTTCACATTCCGGTTAGATGTTTTTCTTTCCAGTTGATTTAACATTATGTACAACTACATCCTTTAAGAATGACGTCATCAATAGCGATATCACTTGGCCAATTACTTCCTCTGGTGGCTTCAATAATAATCTAAAATAATTAACACACAGAAAATAAGTAAGATTGTCCACGCATGCTTGTAAAAGGTAACAGATGTTAATCAATATTGCAAGATTTCAAACATTATTTTGCTGATGTCTGAAGTCATAAAACAAATATGTTTTATAATTAATTTATTATATTGAAATAAAGGCACCATAACATAGAATTAATAACGTAGCATTCCAATAACAAAAATAAAATTCGAATGCTTCCAATTTTATTTCCAATGTACCTTTGTTTGGGGGTCCAGACTAAGCTCCAGTTGTAGACTTTTCCACTCGTTGCCTTGGTTTCCAGAGATTTCCCATTTCGTCACGGGAGCATTTGCTCCTGTCTGTGTTTTAATCTTCAGTGTCCCCATATAGTAGCCATATCCGTCCCACATGTGGTAGTGTAGATTTAGGCAGTAAGTCTTATCTGTTAAATCAATTGTGTGATTTAGAAGACGTATATTTTGCAACTTGTATCTATCAACTTCATTTATTTTGGGCACATTAAGCTGGGTATGTTAATTGTACGAATGATTGGTTAAAATCAAATATTAAACAGGAGTTGTTTTTTTTTTTTTTTTTCATTCCGTTCTGTACCTATCTGCCAATTAATGTTGAAGGATATAACATTAGATGATTGTGTACTATTTTAGTTAGTTTCTTCTTTGGTACTTTATTTTGTTAGCTTATACACTAAAAAAAAGTACATTTTCTGATAGCTCATTCTTTCTTATATACAGGTCACGGTAGCCTAGTGGTACGGCACTCGATTCGTGATCGGGAGGACCTCGGTTTTTAAGATCTCATCCGAAAGACCCCTGACTTTCACCTTTTATGCCGAGCGCTTGGCGAAGGAACAGTCACTACCTATGTTTACGTTTTAGGGTTTGACGCGGCACGGCGAACGATAACCGAACTCGGGCAACCTGGATCACAAAGCAAACGTCCTACCACAAGGCTACCGTGACCGGATACCTCTGTTGTAACTCAGGCTGAGAGGAAAAGGAAAAAATAAGTGACAGTATTTAAATGTTTCCTTTTTTTCCAGACGAAAAATAATTCAGAAGTAATGATAATTAAATGATATGGAAATAGGAATATCCTTTCTGAGAATTTTGATTTTGTTTCCTCATTTTAACCTCATTTTAACGCAAAATAAATAGTGACATCTGGATGTTGATATAATCTCATAAGTAAAGGAAATGAATTTGCTAAATGGATGTGGAGATTCATATACGATTTTTCTGTTTTTAATTACAAAGTGTACTCAGTGTCAAAACAAATCTTACCCTCAAATACTTTATATTTTAGAAAGAGTGACAATCGAGAGACACTCACTTAGCTATAGGCATTAGGTTCACTCTCCTTGTCTGAGACATGAGATTAAAAAATCATCAGATTTTTTTTCTCTTATATAACAAGAAATCATAAAGAATAATCACTTTAACTATGCATATATTGATACGTTTCTACATTGTAACCTAATTGAGCTAAAGCTCCTGATTTGTACTTTCTGAGGCCACCATTCTAAATAGGTATTCCTTTAGGAGGAAGTGATCGGGTGTTATAATGGGAACAGTTTACTCCTCCTAGAATTTTATTTGTAATAAATGACAACGGCTGCACAAAGCAGTCAAAGGTTAGATTTATTTGGGCTTTTTGAGATCAAGGTACTACATGTATATTTGAACATGAATATGTGAGTGTGAAGTCACATGGCTTAACTAGATAATCAATCGCTTAAAAAACCATGATTTCAGTGCGATATTGAAGGAAATATCAGTTCAAATATGTTCTTCAAATGTGCAGGAGGAAAATGTAAACAACGATACATTTATAAGCCTGACAGATGATCAAACACAGAATTAACCTATGGCTCTTAATTTTCTGATTTTTCTTGTTCTTATAGAATAATGGTCCTCCGCTAATAAATGTTGTCTCTCTTATATGTTTAAAATTGAAGAACTCTATTTATTTTCGTCTTGCTACTTTATCTAATTAAAGAAAATCTAGAGAATCGTAAAAATTAAACCATCTTTCTTAATCTTAGTTGTCAACAGTTCTAATTTTGCCCCTTTAGGGCAGAGGCGAGCTTATTATTCTTCCTTTGATTGCGTTTTGAAAATTACCTCTTTAACCGTCCAATCAAAATCGTCACTCGTTACGTCACTCAAAAAACAATTCTGATTCTCAAAAGTGCATCTGTATCCAACATCTGTAACGACCATTGAAATTGCACTTAAAATGAAAAATGAGATTCAACATCTGTATGATTGAGCCTAACTGTTTAATAATTATTTGTAATAAACTGTGACTTAGGTTTCATATATCGTGTGAAATATATATATTATAAGAACTGACCTATTTCACAGTTGGTACCAGAGTTCAAACACGGGTCACATTGACAGGTGAATCCCGATCCCGACGGCACGCACTGAGCTCCATTTTGGCATGGATTATAATCCACACATACTTGTGATCCAGCTAGAGAAATGACCAACATTTCATTGCAGGTAAATATACCTGTACTTAATAACCTAATTACGTCATAATTCTCTATAAGATTAAACTTCGAAAACATTAAATGTACAAAAAATGTCTAGTCTACAGTCAGTTTCTTTGTAATTCCTATGCATAACACGTTATAGTTCAGTCTTTCATTTAGTGATTAAGCAGTAATTGTATTGCTTAACTACTAAAGGTAAATAAGCTAAGTACCACATTGATTTGGTTCCAGTCCAATATCTCTAAGCATGACGTATTGTACACCAAGATTGCCTTCAATCGTCACCTATGTAACATAACAAACAGCATTAAGAAATGATGATCAGTAAATTTCCTACATCTTGTGATTGTCCATTTTCATTCTTCCATGCTTCTTTAGTTGTTGGGTTATGTATTTTCGGTTACTTTTGACTGACAACTACTTTTATATTTTTTTTTCTTAAACACTATTTCTATGCCATAAATAGAATTAATTCTACATTTTAATGGGGTTTTTTTTTGAGAGAGAGAGAGAATTGAATTAATTTGTTTCTATTTTCTTAGCATATACATGTAGTGTGGTCTCTCTTCTAGGGAATCCTTGCATAGTTACAAGGAAAACTCATAGCAAAGATTGAAAAAAAATTACAAAATACTTTCGTTCTAAACGCTTTTTATTGAGATTTTATTGCTTATTTGGTAAAAATCGTAGGTTTTTTTTTTTTTTTTTTTTTTTTTTTTTTTTTTTTTTTTTTTTTTTTTTTTTTTTTACAATACAACGATAATATGATAAAACATCTGAAAGTCCAAACCTCGAGATTTCCAACCTCTGGAACATCAACTTGTTTACTGCTCCACGAGTTTGTGGCGTCTGCCGTTGTTAGGGTTAAGATGCTGCTCTTAGAAACCCCCGTTCCTTTGTAATACACAGTCAAAGCTGATGGATAGGAGTGAGTTGGTGAGTCGGTTGTGAAAATGCACTTAAACTTTAAACACCTGTGATTTGCTGGAAAAAAATAACCAATCACGTCAATAATTAGAAAGTTCAAGGTTTTCTAAGATGAAAGGAACCTTCCATTGAGTAGGATATCGCAACATTATCCCTATAACATTACCTTCGAAATTAGCTTTTGTAATAAGACTAGACTTCCAATTGTAGTAGTACCAGCCAGAACTCTGTGGTCTTAGGAACAGTGCCGGGCGGTTATCTGTATTTCCAGGAAAGTTCTATTAAATATTCAAATAGTAAAAATATGATAATAAGATGGAAATAACAATTCAAGCTTTCCTACTGTATAACTACTCTTGTTTTGGAGTACCAATATAAGCCAGAAACAAAACGAACGCGATCAAACCTATATATAATATCAGACACAGTTCTGCATTTAGAATATGTAGATACATGTAAAAAAATATGTTTTATGAATTCTGCATCATCAGCTTATTGCTTGTTGGATTTTTTTGTGGTAATTTGACTACAGAGGTTTTTTTTTTTTACTCAAATTAGTTTTATTTTACCGTTGTGATCGACCATCGAAAATCTGAAATTTGTTCGTCTTGCTGGAAAGCGCAGGTGTATAAATCATCATCAATGTTACAGAAGTTAGTGGCATTAGCTGAAAGTAAATCATATAAGTGTTTAAGTGTTTAATGCCTTGGCAAAATCAGACGTGACCATATTGTTTACATAAAAAAAAGTTTCTTTACTTAATGAGATTTATCAATCTAATAATATAATTCATTTCAAGATATAAATGTTTATGTCCTTAGATACAAGCCAGTCTTGTCATACTGAAGCCATTTTTTTTTTTTTACAAACTTCTACCTTGAATATTTTGACAGGTTGCTCCCGACCATCCAATCGTGCATGAACAACTAAACCCACCATTGGCTGTTTCTGTGCATGTTCCTCCATTTTTACATGGGAAACCGATACACCCTAAAAATACAATCAATTACAGTAGAAATGTGAGTACTAAAATGTCCTCTTTGTATGACCTCACTGGCGAGACCATACAGAAACGGGTAACTGTTTAATGACAGATATGATTACAGTTTTCAAGGAATTATTAACATTTTGTATCTGCATTAAAAGCATTTTTTTTTACATATCGCACAATTCACTCTCACCCACTTTTATAGTATATAATACAGATATTTGGAAAACAAAGAATGAAATATTGGAAAGCAATATTTCTCTTGTAGTTTTTTCCTTTCTTTTTAAAGATGCATTCAGTCAAGCATAAATTAAAACTGTTTTAAAAGTTTATAAACATGGCATATTGCTATTTTTCAACAAAGTAATACGATTATAAGTGCATTTTGTGCTTTTTCTACAGGCACTTGGCCTTTTCTCGACTGATATAGGTAGAAATACTTCTGAATCATTACAATTATTAGATTTAAAATGTACGCTTTAAGTTGACACATTCAAACTTATTGTCAGTGTTAATAACTCAAGTCGAGCAAAATAGTTCCTGCTTTTCGTAAGTGTATTATTTTTGTATAAAAACAATCAATTACAAACCCTACATGATAAAAAAAAGCCTTTACCGTAACCTTGAAGAATTTTCCTATAACCCATCTCATCAATAAGTCTCGTTACCCAGAAACCTGATCCTTACCCTACTTTATTGATAAGCCTTTTCCAAGACCTAGAAGACTGATTCAAAACAAAATGCCTGCCCGACTGAGAATTTTATACTGTCATCTGGAAGCCTACCTGATTAGTTAACCTCCACCGTGACTTGTAGGCTATCTGATTGATTATCATCTACAACGACTTGTGGCCTACCTCATTAATAATTCAATACCGTGACTTGTAGCCCATCTCATTAATAATTCACTACCGTGACTTGCAGGCTACCTAAATGATAAACCTCTACCATGGCTTGTAGCCCACCTCATAATAATTCACTACCGTGACTTGTAGTCTACCTCATTAATAATTCACTACCGTGACTTGCAGGCTACCTGATTGATAAACCTATAACATGGCTTGTACCCAACCTCATTAATACATGTAATTCACTACCGTGACTTGTAGTCTACCTCATTAATAATTCACTACCGTGACTTGTAGCCTACTTCATTAATAATTAACTACCGTGACTTGTAGTCTACTTCATTAATAATTCACTACCGTGACTTGTAGCCTACCTCATTAATAATTCACTACCGTGACTTGTAGTCTACTTCATTAATAATTCACTACCGTGACTTGTAGTCTACCTCATAATAATTCACTACCGTGACTTGTAGTCTACTTCATTAATAATTCACTACCGTGACTTGTAGTCTACTTCATTAATAATTCACTACCGTGACTTGTAGTCTACTTCATTAATAATTCACTACCGTGACTTGTAGCCTACTTCATTAATAATTCACTACCGTGACTTGTAGGTCTTCCAATCTTAATCTTCCAAGTCTTAAAATCCTGATCCAGACAAAATAACCTACCTGACTGAAAAGTCTGTACCGGAACCCGGAAGCTTACCTGATTGATAAGCCTCTACGGTGACCTGAAACCTGCTCCAGGAGATACATTGGTGTGTTTAGCGCTGTTAAATCTTACCTGACTGATTAGCCTCTACGGTGACCTGGAAGCCTGCTCCAGGAGACACACTGGTGTATTTAGTGCTGTTAAATCTTACCTGACTGATAAGCCTCTACGGTGACCTGGAAGCCTGCTCCAGGAGATACACTGGTGTGTTTAGCGCTGTTAAATCTTATCATCATCCTTGCGGGATTTCCACTCAAACTTTTCACAAATTCAGAGCCTCCAACAGTACCACATTTTCTGTTTAAAGAAAATAAAATCATTATTGCTCAATTCTTAAATATTTTCTGAACAGAAATATTGCTGCTTTATGAGCGTAATGACAATATCTTACTCTTTGCCAGGCTGTCCTATTAAATTGTCTCTGAATTCTAGCCAGTGGTAGCAGTCATCGGCAGAATTATACGGGAGGTCCATACTGGTGATCGTTGCTTTGATTCTAGTTCCAACATCTCCCTATATATTTGAAAGTTCAGTATAAAAAATCGCATGTACATTAGTGGTAAAGTTTTCTTTGATATTTACTATACATTCTCATCGCACCCACGGGTTCTGAATATCGTAAGATATAACCTACCTTCACTAACCATGTACAAAGAAGACCATTGCTGTAATTTGGGAGACTTATTTGAGAAGTTTGGCCAGCAGAAAGATTTATTGTACTCCCGCAACCTAAAACGTATGCAAAACCTTAACTATCACATGCTCTTGAAGATTTTTCTCAATAGAGTAATACATGCTACAGCTAAAGTAAAACAAGTTTCATGCTTGAAGTTCGAGTAAGAGAAAAAATTAATTAAATTTAAGATACTGAGTAGGTATGCTATATGTCCACTTGTCACACACACATACCAGGACTGGTGTCCAGCTGCCCACAGTCGACTCCCTTTGTTCCAGAAGGACATGCACAACCACAGACACCGCTGGACTGTTTTGCTACTCCACCGTTCAAACATGTATTACTACAACTAGCTGAAAATAAGATAAAGGTACAGCTCTTGTAAAAGAATTAAAATAATTTGATTTCATATATCGAAAATAGAGCTATTCCATTTGTGTGCGTTTCATTTTTAATTCATTCATTTTTCATACAAATTGTTAGGCAATTATTTTCACACTGAATTGTGTATGGATTTTTTTCGATCATGACAGGAGCACATGGCGGATGTTACCGGTCGAGAGGGGATACTAAGTGCTTCATGGCACCTGATCCCACCTCTGATGTTTTTAGAAGTCAATGTTTGCTCTAGTTTAGGAATGACTCTAATTCTTGGCCAAATTCTTCGAGTATAACCTGGTTTGGGTCAGTTTACGCTTTATAATCCGCGAAGCGTATTATAAAACAGCGTAAACTGACCCAAACTAGGTTATACTCGAATAATTTGGCCAAGAATTAGAGTCATTCCTTATAATTTAATTTTAAAATCATTAAATAACTACGGGTGTAAAATTTCGTTGCTTTTTATTAGTTCAAATTTGCCGCTCAATAATACAAACGTAGTAACGGAAGTAACGGAAGTGATGGGAAGCGAGGGGAGGTAAAAACTGATACATAGGCCTAGCAGCCTTGTTGTTTGTTTACATGGGGTTAGTTTGAATTATTGTTTGAAGTGGAATTTTCCATGAATCCCGAGGACTGGAAATGAGAGGATTGTATGGATACAGATGATTCAGCTTGTTGTCGGGGGGGGGGGGGGTCCCCATACCAAACCAGGTTATACAGAGATAATTTGTGTTCCTTTTTGGATATTAACCAATCAGAGGCTAGAATACAAACAAAATTAAATTATTCCCAAATAACATTGTTTCAATGGCCTTTTGAGCTTGATTACTGTACGTTATCTTCATATTTCATGATACATTTCAATGCAAATAAAAATATCCAAAATCAAAATATCTCAAAATCCGTTATCTTAAGCCAATAAATCCTTGTGTAGAAAAATATTTACATCCACTGAATATTATCTCCTTTATTTCTTAAGAAAACCATTGCCGTTTATCAGTCTGTAAACAGCAATAAGCATATCACCTGTACAGAGTTCTTGAGCAGTGGTTGTTCCAGAATGATACGAACAATGGCGTACATATCAATAATACATTACTTCATCAACTAAATCCTACTTCAAAAGATTATTTGTACAGATATAAATATAACCAATAAAATGTCTTTCTTTGTTTGTTAGTTCGGAAATTAATGTTGCAGTTATTGCAGAAAAAAAATTCATAAGCCGCTTACGCGGGTTATGCATTTTTTCTGCAACAGCTGCAACATTAAATCCCGTACTAACAACCAAATAAGGCATTTTATTAGTCCCCTACCGGTGAAACCGGAGGGGACTATAGGTTTCCTCTGAGTCTGTCTGTCTGTCAGTCTGTCCCTCTGTCTGTCTGTCAGTCTGTCCCACTTGGTTTTCCGCACTTTTTCCCTAAACGCTTGCAGATATTGAGCTTATTTTTGGTACGTGAATGTATCTTGATGAGTTACAGACCAAGTTTGTATTTCGTACCGCTTCATTGATTTTTGACGGAATTACGGCCTTTTCAATTTTTAAGGGTTTTCCGCAATTTTCTTCTAAACGCTTGCAGATATTGAGCTGATTTTTGGTGTGTGACTTTATCTTGACTAGTTATAGATCAAGTTCGCATTTCGTTCTGATTCATTGGTTTTTGACAGAATTATGGCATTTTCAATTTTTAACGGGAACCAGATTACACTTGCCGGTAGGGGACTTGTACTGCTAATGCAATACTCTCAGAATGCTTGTTCTAATGGAAAGGCATGAAAAAGTAAATAACATGATGTTCTGTATAAATTTCTATTTCAAAAAGAAGATGCTCCATGGAATGGCATGAAAAAGTAGATAACATGATGTTCTGTATAAATTTCTATTCAAAATGAAAATGCTCCATGTGCTCAAATTCTCAGATTGTGTTCACATTTTTCTTTATTCACAAGAGGTGCATGTTTTATTGTAATTTTTATAAAAGGCACAAGATCCTAAGCCATGTCTTAACGTTCTGCCGAACTGATTAACATGTGTGATCTATTTTATTTTGTTGATATGGCTTGTGATATACTTGTGTTCTGAAATTTTAATCACTCTTTAAAATTGCAACTGCATTGATGTTTTCCCCTTAAATTAAAAAGTTAATTCTATATCATGCATAATATAACAATTGCTTTAAAGTTTCATGATCATGTACTTTTATAAAAGACTGAATATAATTATCGGTGAGGAGAAATCTCATAACATCAGGAGAAGTGAGGAGAAATCTCATATCAATCTCATTAATCCAATTAACAAAATAAATCGAGAAAAGGGTAAAAACACGTACCCCTGGAAACAACAGAGTTGGGATCAGGTGCCTAGGAGGAGTAAGCATCCCCTGTTGATCGGTCACACCGACCGTGGGCCCCATCGTGGGTATTGATCAGGTATACGGAGTACTCCGTAGTCAAATTTAGTATAACATGTCAGACAAAATACGACCCAACGCTAGGTTGTATATACAAACAAGATTACGACCGTAGAATTTTCGAAAAGCTAACTTCAAACGGGGTTGCTGAAATCCTTGTAACATCAACTTATAAGTTGGAAGACATTAACACCATATGCAGGTTATAGCGGAATATAACTACATATAAAAGAAAAGTTGACGATGGAAAAGCCGAAGACATCTCCCTTGTCTCACAATTTAGTTGATAGTTGGACCTTATCATCTATAGTCAGTACACCATACAAATATGAAAGAGATGTACATGTAAGAGACTCATTGGAGTCTTTAATTTCGAGTTCACAGAGATATAGCGAGTCGACATATGAATGGAAGTAACTTTTTCTTCTCGTGTTGAAGTTTCTGAATAAAGTTTGCTTCATAAGAATATAAAAACAGTTCGGCTAATAAAGGAGCACAATTAGTGCCTATCGAAATTCCAACAGTCTATTGGAAGACATGGTCTCCAAAGGCTACATAAATGTTATCAATGAGTAACTCCTGCATCCTTTTAATATCAACTTCAGAGTACTCGTGAATAGAATCAGAGTGATTTTTAACAGAGTAAATTTGTTGATGAAAAAACAAAAGATATGAAGATTTCCTAGTTCAATTCTTTTATATTTTTTACATAGACTTTCTCATTGTTTATCACTTCATTTCTACTTTAAACGGAGATAGATAGTTTGCACTTTGCCATTAAATTGTTTAATGAATTGTTTAATGTGCTTCAATCTTCTTTATTAAATATCATACATTCATCATCAATTCAAACAGAGTATCAACGTCTTCCCCTTCTTATTTAGCCCATTCTCTACCGCGCTCCTCAACGGAATTCATAATAGAAATGAAGTTCTGTCGCCATTTGAACAGTGTGAAGTTAAATGCTAATATGATATAGACCTAATTCTTTATTGACGAAAGGTAAAAGCAAATCAATTAAAACATCGTGTATATTTGGCTTATAGAATTAAAGATGCCCTTGATTGCAATTACGTCTTGGTGTACTGTTTAAAAGTCCACTCACATTCGCTTTGCAACCATATGTGAATGCAGCGCCTCGTTTCCTCATCCAGTATTCTTATTGTTGTCTGCGGAATGGAGTACTTAAAGTAGGGCTATTTGTGGGATGGTATTTTTTTCTCTAAAATTGTGACCCACATAAAAAGAATAGAATGGTCGGGGGGAATGAAATCTTTATAAAGATGTTAATAGCTCAATTATTTTTTCAAACCTATGTCCCAACATTCTCTTATTGAGTAAGCAATTGGTTTTTTTCCATTATAAATACGGTCACAAATCGAAGTGTATTACCTGTGCACTGGTAGGCTTGGTTTATTTCTGCTATATCATATATAGACAGAGTCTTTCCACCACTCGTGGTGAGGTACTCCAACTCAGTGTCCGGCAATGTCATCGTCTTAGCACCACCATAATAATCCGTGGAGAACGCCTTAAAACAAACCAATATACATGGCAATTCTCTGACTTTTACATGCACGTTTGTAATTGAAAATTTTTGCCATATTTTCTGTTTATATAAGAAAAAAATTCACACCCACCCACACACACACCCACACCCACCCACCCACCCACACACCCTCACATATATATATATATATATATATATATATATATATATATATATATATATATATATATATATATATATATATATATATAGCCATAAGTTTATTTCGTGTTAATCAAGACTTTTATTTACCAATAGGCTGTACTGCATGACTGAGGAATAGTCGTACGGCACGCCATTCTTTGTATTTGCAGCAGCAAAATTATAGCCGAGCCCAGGTCGAATGTTGTTCCATAAAATATCTATCTTGCCCATTCTGTCTCCACGACTTTGTTCATGACGTCCTCCCATGGCATGTAGCATTTCATGAATCACAGTGCTTAACTACAAACGTAAAGTACAAGGTCACAGAGCTTAACACAGCGCCTAACTACAAGTATTAAGTACAAAGCCACAGTGCCTAACTATTAATGTTAAACATGTTCAAAGAGCTTAACTAGAAGTGTTAGGTTCAAGGTCACAATGCTTAACTACAAATGTTAATTACAAGGTCACAGTGCTTAACTACAAATATAAAGTACAAGGTCACGGTGCTTAACTTCAAATTAAAGTACAATGTCACAGAACGGAGCTTTACTACATGTGTTAAGTTCAAGGTCACGGTGCGTAACTTCCAGAGGAATGAGTAGAAGAAGACTAAGAAGAAGAAAATTAACATTTCTGTTGTTTTGAGACAGATCGCTATTTTAAAGATTAATTCTCTGAACAGGACTTATACAATTAAACTATCTTGTAAGGAACTCAGATAAAAGGGCATCTTGGTTAGAAGGAACTTAATTTCTCCGTCACTCAATTAAAAATTAAAAAAATTGTGTCCCTTTGTAATTAAAATTCCATCAGTTCCCCATTCCTGAAGTATTCAACACATAAAGCAATTAAAATGCATTTTCAACAAGTCCAGTGCAATCACTAAATTTAACTTGAATTAACTATGTACGGTAGGTTTATATCACTACTCGAAGTAGCTTGATTTGGGTGCTTTCATGCCAGTTTTACTAAGTTGACTTTTTATTTAAAATAGATTAAAGTTTCACAAATATTTGAGTAATAATATTTGTATTATGAGCTTTTCAAAAAGCAATCCAAAGCAAAAATAGTTAAAAACAGTTCAGAGTTGAAAACTATCACTGCAACAATGTGCTATTTTTGTTTAAAAGCTGTAAAAGAAAAAAATAATCAGAAATTAGATGCCAAATCAAGCTAAATAAAGCTATGTAGGTAATTCAAGCTACGTAGCTAAAAGTTGTGTTTGTATTGGACCTATTTAAATGAAAGAAATGATTAGGATAACTTCGTTAAAAGTTGTGTTTGTATTGGACCTATTTAAATGAAAGAAATGATTAGGATAACTTCGTTAATTACAGGTTTCGTTGCTTGTTTATTCTGAGCATATCGTTTATTGAACGTATATCAGAAGGTACGTTGAAAATAAAGGCGTTAGAATGTCCGTCTAATAAACCTGACACTGAATACTTACATACAGACAACCGGTACCGAGCGAGAGGGGCTGTGATCCTGATTGTAATTGTACATTTCCAATATAGGAGGAGCACCTACAATGACATTCCCCATTTTAAATATCGAAAAACTGAAAAAAAAATTGTGCATTTTCCTTGAAACTTTTCAAATGACAGCATAATATAATGGAACTAAAAAAATGGTAATTTTTACCCCAATCTTATCTATTTAATACTTTTATTTCAAAATAATACTCGAATATTCCTTGAAAAATCCTGATTTTTTGGTCGTGTGCCGTACGACCATACTCTGTATATATTCAATTATAACAAAATCCTTATTTTTGCCTTTAATTTATTTAAAATATTGAGATGTACTTAAATATGATTAATAAACATTTCCAGAAAGTTTCAGCTCAGCGCTTGCATTATTTTTCGATAAAAAAACGATGTCCACGATTTTACCGGACAACCTCGTACATAATTACCCGCTTCCATTCCTAATTAAGACGTAATATGTTTCATCTACTCTCTCTTTCCAAGTCACACAACTCTGCGTCTGAATAATATTGATTGCTTCCCCGATTAAGTTCATTAGAAGGCTGGTGGAGGAAGTAGCTAAAAAAAAAAAAAATAATAAGCATAGTGATTATCTTAAAAATACTGAAACAAGTAGAGTTGACACTCTTTAGGTTCTCAAATTATAGAAAAATTGACAGCAAACTCTAAAGATATGTATAGTTTTATTAAGTTTATGTAGTTCCACTAGTGTTGTTCAGTAACTGATAAACGCCAATGGTTTTCTTTAGAAATAAAGGAGAAAATAATCAGTGGATGTAAATATATTGCTGATGGCCCGTGACTCCACGTCTGTGTTGCCAAATTATCCTACTGTAAGAGGATGTACCCACTACTGTAAGAGGATGTACCCACTACATAAAAATAAAGTATCTTACACAAAGACAATCTACATTAGAAATAAAACATTTTACAGTAAATTGTAATGTAACCAGTTATAAGGAGTGGAGCATCTGACGGTAAGAGGATTTATACACTACATAATGAATAAATTATCTTACAGAAAGAGGCACTATCCACTTCATAAGGCACGACTCCATTCTCCCACAGATTACTGACAACTTCAAAATTCCTCTTATCTGCCCCTTTATCAGATGGCGGCTAAAACATAGAAGTATAAAGGTACCTTAAACAATGTCATAATCAGTCTGAATATTAGTAATGTAAGTATATATAAATGTATTAAAACCCATCTTAATCTTAATTCATATCTGCAATATATAGGGATTAAATTATCTTTTTTTTTTCTTTCTTGAACATATAGATTAAAATTACATTTAGGAATTATCGAAGAGTAACGAATATTTCTTACTTTTCTAAATGTATCAAAAATGAAATATTTTTAGCATATCTGCCGATAATACAACTGTAATAGTGAGATTTGCAAGATTTAATGTAAAACTGAAGTAAAAATTATAAGGATACCAAGCCGTATTGGGGATTTAACGGATGAGTGTCGTGGCTTTGAGCAATCATATCATTCTTGTCATACGGATGTATGTTTTTAGGCTGCAATGAAATATATATATATATATATATATATATATATATATATATATATATATATATATATATATATATATATATATATATATATATATATATATATATATATATGAATAATGTACTGATTAATTTTCTAAAAATCTCAATAGGTGTAATTTCTTTAAAAATATTTTTGACCATACGATTTCAAACTTAACTCAAAATATTTTCAGATTTTGCACATTATTAAAGACATATTAATAATGTTATAATTGTCTGACCTTGAGGTGACCTTTTGGAGTATCAACAGATTGGGCCTCGGCGTCATTTTCATCACTTGAATTTGGATCTATATCCTGAATCAAAAAATGCAAAGATATTACAAATAATATTGAGTTTTCATAGTATCTACCTACCTATCAAATATATATATATATATATATATATATATATATATATATATATATATATATATATATATATATATATATATATATATGTATATATGTATATATATATATATAAGAATGAAATGTTACACACTCAAGGTGGAATGCCACATCAGGATTTTATTTAATAGATCTTTAAGACATCCCTTTTAAACTATGGTTTCAGCATTGAAAGGCCGATATTAGCTCTTTATTATTTTATATGAATTTATATATATATATATATATATATAGAGAGAGAGAGAGAGAGAGAGAGAGAGAGAGAGAGAGAGAGAGAATGAAAAATGTGTTTAATTTGCATATAAAGTGCTTTACGGTTTGACATTTGCTCGTAATAAATGCATAGTATGAATGTTTAATAAAATATGTAAAGAAAGACTGGATAGACATTTGTATTTTTTAGATAAAAAATTATTTATAGAAATAAAACACATTATTTGTAAATATTTTTTAGACTTATGGTTTAAACCTTCATAAAAGTAGTCACAACTAGGGAAAACGTTTTATTCTATCATATTTCAAAAAGAAATTGAAATGATATTGCGAAATTTTAGAGAAATTAATTTTTTAAGTATTTGGACGTAACCCGATCAAAATTAAATTGATCCTGATCAAAGTAACACAAAATGAATAAAATAATAAATTAATGCATTCTTTATGCATTTACCACCAAGAAATCTATTTGATTGTCAAGTTCAGCTATTTTTTAACCCATATTACACATAATCAAACTTGTATTTTTTTGAAAATGTTATTTATTTCCAATAATTATAGATATCTGGTTGGGATCAGTTGAATTTCAATCAGGATTGGCCAAAATTAAAAAAAAAAAATGATTTCTCTAAAATTTCACAATTTCATTTCAATTTCTTTACAAAATATGGTTGACTAACATGTTCTCCGTAGTTATGACTAGTTTTACGAAGATTTTGACCATAAGTCTGAAAAAAATATTCACAGAAAATGTGTTTTATTTTCATAAATATTTTTAGTAAAAAAAAATTTAAATGTCTATTTGGCTTTTCTTTACATATTTTATTAGACATTCATATGATGCATTCATTAACAGAAACTTTTTAAGTCTAAAGCATCTTATATGCAACTTAAACATTTTTTTTTAATTTTCTCTGAAAAAATGCAAAAAAATCATAAAATATAATTAAGAGCTAATATCGACCTTTCAATGCTGAAACCAGGACTTAATAGGTGTTTCTTAAAAATCTATGAAATAAAATTTTGGTGTTGCATTCCTCCTTAAATACGGCATAGGGTGATTTGAAATCCCTTTAAATGTTATTTTTCAGACTCAGTATTTGCGTCACTTTCAAATTTACACCGTGAGAATTGTAATTTTACTACTGTTTATTTTTGCAGTCACGAAGTTTTGAAAATTTGATCTTAAACAGTTTTCTAAATGCAGTATTAAATTTACAAGGGCCGGGGAATCTTACCCGAATATGCCAATTAAAGTAGAAGTCGACAATCTCTGTCACCTGATAGCCATAGCTATCCTTTATATGAATGTCATAAAAATGTACCCTTTTTCTTACATTTCCGTTAATTTCATTTTAAAAATGGATCTAACATGTATTCAATTACACTCATATAGTGTCTTTTTGCCAAATCCCTATGATTGAATTGACTGGTTCTTGTGTTCCGAAATAAAATACGTTCTTAAATAAGCTTAAGCCTATGTTTATACAGCGCAAAATCTACAGCATAAAACATAGAGATGGACAAAACATACTTAACTTTCAAGACAAAATTTAAAATCAGAACTAGATATTTTATTTATTAGAACAAAAAATGAACTGATTATTGAAAAAAATGTACATGTATCAAATATATGCATGTCTTTTAAATCATGAGATGTTCAATAGTTTCAACAATTTAATAGTATTTGAGGAAGAATTTAATAATTCCACCTTGTTATGTTATTGAGTGTGTTGAAAAGCTCACTGGAGCATTTAGAGACACAAGAAGTTGTTACATCTTTTACATTATATATATATATATATATATATATATATATATATATATATATATATATATATATATATATATATATATATATATATATATATATATACGAGGGTTGTCCCAGAAAAACGCGAACTTTCTGAATATTTCAAAAACTATTCGACCAAAACAAACTATTATCTGCACCTTGTTGTTGGGAAATGAAATTTTTGCTATTTTGACAAAATATTATAATGTTGTAATACCATATGCATGTAAAATAGCTTTTATAGGATGTCAAATATCGGTGCTCGGCGCACAGCAATTTTTGTGGTATAGAAATAGCATTGTCAGAGAAGTTTTCTTTATTACCAGGCTATACGGATATATAATGTGAGAAAGGTTACCTCCATAGAAACTCTATGATCTAACGTACTCGTGTGTAAAAATTCATTAATTTAGCATCACAAGTGACAAAAATATGACGTTAGATGCAAAACATCTTTACTTAGATATTGTCAAAAATAGTGACGTCGAACGATAATGCGGAACACCAAATTATCAAGCGGGATATGACTCCTGTCCATATGGCAAAAGATATGTAATAGATGGAACGACACAAACATATATCTCGGACACAGATTTACACCCAGTCCAGGACCTTCGAGGATTGCTTGACTGGTTATAATTGTTTGATGGAAGAATCGTTTGGTAGACCAACAAACTATAAAGTCAGAAGCTGGACATCATACTTTGCGACGACCGTTTAACTAAGCGAGCAGTCAGGTAAACTAATGACCGGCATTAGGAAATTGTTAAAGTTTACTAAAAGAATTAATTCCGCGGTCTTCGAAAAAAGGCTAATTAAAGTCTGAGATGGATAACTTGGTAACTAAAAGAAAATTATACATTTATGCCTCAAACAAATTTCATCAGACGCACGATTCCATAATGAATTCACAAACGCCACGAGCTTCGTTTTGACGTCGTCAGTGTTGTCCCGGCAATTTTTTTTTTATTTGCAAATTCGTTAACCTAAGAGATATTTTATTGAAATTTTTATGCATTATTCAAAAAAAAGTTGATTATGACGTATGCCAATTTTTAACTTTATAGTGCTAGTGAAACAAAAGATATTGAAAATGTTCGCGTTTTACTGGGACGACCCTCGTGTATATATATATATATATATATATATATATATATATATATATATATATATATATATATATATATATATATATATATATATATATATGCAAACCTCAGGCAAATTATTTCCTCCACTGCCCTTTCTTTTGTCTAGCTTTTCTTCTAAAATTCTTTCAAGAATATCTCTGAGCTCTGAAATATTTTGATAATAATTATTTAAGTATATCATGTGACACCCACATAACACAGAGAGAGAGAGAGAGAGAGAGAGAGAGAGAGAGAGAGAGAGATTAACTAGACTAATGGAGGTACGGATATCGTGCTTAACTTAAACCAGCAAAATTGTTTTTGAAATGTGTATATTTTAGAGGATTTGAACAAAAGGGGGATGAATATGACCAATTGCCTTTGTTTCGATTTTTTTTTTTACCTTTTCTTTCATGCACCACGTCTCTAAGGTAGCTGCTTTTCTTTAATTTAGTTTTAAAAACAAATCCTTCGATATTAAAATTTATAGCTATTGTACGTTAAATAGGGACATCTCTTCATTTATACCTTGATTTACTTCGAATTTTTTTGTTACATTTTACCATTGCTAATAAACTTTTCAAATGAATATTAGAAATAATGAAGAATTCATAGCAAATATATACTCAAAGTGGAATGTTCAATTTTTTTTCGGAGTAAATAAAAACAGTTATTCAGCATTTTATATGTTATAAATCTCCAGAAATATTGAGGATGGTTTATAGAGGTTTTGTGTGTAAAATTTTCCACTTTAGTCTTAGCAACAAAGCTTTTCAATTGAATATTAAAAGAATTCATAGCAAATATACACTATGCAAGCATAATGTTCCTTTCTTTCAAGGTAAATCAAAACAGTTCTTCAGCATTTTATATGTTATATATCTCCAGAATTCGAAGATGGTTGATAGAGGTCTGTGAATAAAATTTACCACTTATCAACAACACTTTTCAATTGAATATTAAAAATAATGAAGAATCCATGGTAAATAAACATTAAATACACGAAATGTTCAATTTCTTTTCAGAGTAAATTAAACCTTAATATACCCAGGAATTTATTATCATGTCATTTCCCGAAATAGACATCTTGCGAAATAAAATTACTCGCCTTATAAACAGTCCAATCGGAAATTCATATTCTCGGGACTTGACTTCTATAATTAGTCATTTCGCAATATCAAGCACTTGTGTAACTTAAAGAATCTACAATATTTAATATTTTATGATAAGATTAAAGTTTGTATATCTTATTATCACCTCAATCAAAAGCATTGGAAGGACGTATTGCTACACATTTGTGTTTGATTATCTGTCTTCTTGTCAGTACGAAACACATCAAATACAAATAGTTGAAAAGGAATGTGACATTGAAATCAACATTCGTAAAGAACAATTAGTACATTTTAAAGTGGATTTGGCAAGAGAAAATGAAAGCTGTTTTTTTTTCTTTTCTTTTTTTTTATTAGCTGTCTTTACTTTGAGATCTATCAAAATTGTAAGATATATGTACATATTCTGAGGAAACGGGCATCTTAGTGCAAAGAAAGATCAAATCTGTGCAAGCTTTCACTGAAAATGCGGATATATGTTGTTTTCTTTATTAGTCCCTACCGGTGAAACCGGAGGGGACTATAGGTATTCTCTGAGACTGTCCGTCCGCCTGACTGTCCGTCTATCTGTCCCTCTGTCTGTCTGTCAGTCTGTCCCACTTGGTTTTCCGCACTTTTTTCCTAAACGCTTGCAGATATTGAGCTGATTTTTGGTATGTGAGTGTATCTTGATGAGTTACAGATCAACTTTGCATTTCGTTCCGCTTCATTGATTTTTGACGGAATTACGGGCTTTTCAATTTTTACGGGTTTTCCGCAATTTTCTTCTAAACGCTTGTAGATATTGAGCTAATTTTTGGTATGTGTCTTAACCTTGATTAGCTATAGATCAAGTTTGCATTTCGTTCTGCTTCAGCGATTTTTGACGGAATTATGGCATTTTCAATTTTCAACGGGAACCAGATTACACTTGCCGGTAGGGGACTAGTGTTGCTAATGCACTACTCTCAGAATGCTTGTTTCTCTGTATTTTGCATTAAGACAGACACCATTTTATACGAAGATCAATATCTTTTATAGATGTTTTTGTATATCCACCAATCTTAAAGGTCATAGGAGACAATTACCTGAACATATTGAGTTACATACGGGAATAAGTTCATATGAGCTGGTAAAATAAGACCGAAATTCTTTTTTGGATTTTTTACGCAAGATAGCTACAGCACAGTCGATCAAAATTACTCAGTCGTGAAAATTCACTTTGACTAACGTTGCTTATCTCCCTTAGCATATGACGTCAGTAAGGCCCAATCGCTGTTCAAAGCTATGCAATGTTTACAAACTATCGTGTCATTTTGCAGCTTAATTTTAAAGAATATCATAATCATGACTAAAACCTAGTATAAATATACGATCTTCAAACAAGCAAGTATTTCTTTTTAAAAATTCCATTGCATATTTGCAAGGTGTTTGCATGTTTTATCAATCAAAATGTGATCATTTTCATCGTTTGACACTTCGATCTATTGAGAGAAAAATAAAGCAATCGGAAGAGAGAAAGAAGGGAGAGTGAGAATGAATTCATTTTTATAACCAGGGCAGTTGTTTTTATGAAATCATTTATTTACAACCTAGTTTTACTTTCACACAGAGTCCAACACTGTCAGTATGACACTTTTCTTGACAAACGATACGTACCTACTGCGTTAAGTATCACATGACTTAAAAAAAAAAAAAAAAAAAAAAAAAAAAAAAAAAAAACACACACACAAGAAAAAATTTCCTTGTGTTACTGTTTTATATAATTAAATCAATTCTTATCATTTGACACTGTCTTAATATTTACTTACTCATGTACAACATCACTACCAATACCCGATCTCTGCCCCCCCCCCCCTCCCCCTTGTTATTTCTTATTTCTTTCTTTTTGTAATTGAAAGTTCTTGAAATAATCTTGTCGTTTTTAAACACATTGCAGATGGGTTAAAAACAACTCTGGCAAGAACTATACGTAAACTTGTATATATGGGAGTTAGTACAAACGACGTTTAAAAAAGGCAGCTCTAACATGTGGAAATATTTCTATGAAAGAATAAGGATTCTACCAAATGTAGATATTGAATGAATTAGAAATCGACATTTTTTTAGTTTAGTAAAATTTAATACATAAAATACGAAAAAGGTAGGTATCTTTCCAGTCAATTTGTTAAAATATTTATCAAAGATCAGTACTTATCATCGTATACAAACCTGTTTATTTTCCAGTGTGTATTTATGGGTTTTTTTTTCTGTAAAGGATATAATTTCAAAAGTTTTAACATCTGTTAAAAAGAACATTAATATTAAAATTGTAGTCTCGCAAATGATGAATGGATTTGCAAACTGATCACGGATTGTACTATTTACTACTACATACCGATTATTTCAAAATTCGATATTGTAGAGTCAAACCGTGTCTGCACAAAGTATCGGCATCGTAACAATCTCATTTGCTCTGGGCTCAACATTTCTTCTTTATATATATATTTTTTTGTAGAAGAATACAATCATGTCATAAACTCAGGGATTCTATTGCTATATCGTTTTTACAGCAATATGTGTGTTTCGGATCGGGGAAAACGAAACTTCAAAGACGCTGACATTTTCAGTGGTTCACGCTCATCATGGACTTCAATACCACCGGCCCCCTGTTTATTTTGGGGATTCACATTAGGGATATTCCCCATATAAGTGTCATATTCTTTCTTTAACAGAATATTATAAGCTTAATCAAAATTTTTATTCATATCAGAAAAGGTCACTTTTAATAAATTATTCTATTTTATGTTGCATTATGCGATTTTTCTTGGAATAAAAAACGACTTTAGTTATTAACTTTTTTTTAATGACGATGGAATCCTTTTGGAATGTCGTATATGTGTATTAAACAGGGAAATATTTTTTTGTTTTTAAAGGTTTGATGCAGAGTAAGTAATCGAAGTTGTAGCTTAATTTAAGCGTAATTTTATACAGGATATTCTTCAGGATCATCCTCCGATACAAAGCCTCCGTTTTGAGTTGCTGTGCCTTATTAACGACTCGTTCAAACTGAATTGACTGAACTACAAAATCAGATAACTCACCTGAAAACATAGACACATTTATATTTAGAAAAATAGCTTAAATTAACTAGATAAAAATATGGTAGAAATACATTAGTCTAATACTCTGTTTACATCAGTGGGCTCTTGTGACGTCATAAAACCACAAAATCAAGAACGATAAGCGGGTAAGAAAAGTAACAAGTGGAAAAGTTTTCACCTTTATTTTTCAGTAGAACAAATATTACTATTCGTAATTTATCATTCTTTCATATATAGCTTTAGGTTTAAAAAGTGAAATCCTAATGTTAAGAATCTTTTCCTATGACCTTTAAATATCAAATTTTACACCAAACACTCAAAAGCTTAGAAAACAAGCATCATCATGCACTGTTTTTACCTAAACATATTATTTGTTACAAATGTGGTATGAGATCCAAAAGGGATGTCACAGCTGCAATAAAATCTTTACTATTTTAAACCCTTCTACAAAATTTGATACACTAATGCCTTTATCTATTCTGACATTTGTGTAACACTTTTTTTAGACATTTCATTTCTATTACAGTGAAGGATGAATTAGAAATGAAAAAGTCTTCCAATTTTTTTTTTCTCTTTGTTTGGACTCATTTATCTCAAATACACATCTTAAGATCCCCAGCATTGTAGGAAAGAATTATCCTTAATATATTGCATTATCTTTAGGTTGAAGTCAGGTACAGAAACGTTTTCATCTTACATCAATAAAACAATTAATTACACATCAGTATCACTGAACGTATATATACTTACCAAGTTCAGCTTTGCTCGGTCTAGAAGAACTTAATTCAAAAGCAACAAATAAAATGAATACAAGTCCTAAGATCTTCATTGTGTCGACTAGTTCTGGCAAATTGTGTCACACGCTTATATTTCATTCGCTTGTCAATCAAAACTCAATTCAACACCCATTTAGAGTAAATATATAGAAATGTTTCGAAATAGCGATAAAAAAAATAATTTAAATTACTACAAACTTCGAATCAAAGGATGACGCAGTATTTTTTTTTGCTTTGATTTTATCTTTGTTTTGATTACTGCTTTCGTCATCTTTTTTGACAGAAATAGGATGTAGTTCTACCGGGTAACCGTGTGTGCTCAGCCTAAATATATCAAAAATAATTATTTCAGTACATTCTGTTCTGAAATTCAATCATTACAAATATGACGTGAAAGTAGTAAAGTAAGATAGATATTAGGAGAAAGGTTGGGGGGAAATAGTAAATTAACCAGTAATTTTTTGCATATTTTTTTCAAACAGGTAAGATGTATGTCCGGGTCTCATTTGAAATTTTGACATACTCTCTGACACGTTTTGCAATCAAAACACGGACCCTTGAAAACAATGGGATCAGCTGCCTAGGAGGAGGAAGCATCCCCTGTCAACCTGCCATACACAATGTAAGCTCTCTGTATTGATCAGTTTAACGGAGTATTCGTAGTATTAATGGTATAAAAAACATTGCCTTTCCATCGATGAGAAATACATCACATCGATAGGTTATATTCATAATATTGGCCATATAATTTGCAAAATGCTTTACACGAGACAGTTTATAAACCCTGTTTAGAACTTATTTATCCTGCCTCTGTTTAAAAATTAAACATAGAATTACTCCAAACGTGCTCTCGAGTATAGAACCAGTTCAAAAACACAAACACCAAAACAAAACTACCATCTGTAGGTAGTTTTGGAATATAACTACAAAAAAAGGACAGTTGACGATGGAAATTCCGAAGACATCCTTTTTTTCATTTAGTTTAGTTGTTGGTTGGACATTATCGTCTATAATCAGTAAGATATTTTTCGAAACTTTTAATTTGATTTGAAAATGTTAACTTTGAAATTTCTTTAATCTACAAGCTTTTAAAGAATGTTTTTCTCCTGGATCGAAAGGTTTCTTTATGATGAAAGTAAGATTTGGTAATAACGTGCGTGTGATGAACGTATTGCCTATATTTGATATATGCTGAATCTCGGAATGAAAATATTTTCATAGTCTGTTTTGGGCTTTAGCTTGAGTCACAGAGCATTTGCTTTTTTTGATTTATTGGTAAAAAATGAACGATAAATCTTTTCCGACTAATTCTAGATAAGCGTATATTTAAATGGAGATAGGCCTCACTTGAAATGAAGTTCAAACGATTCCCAATTCTTAATTTTATACGAGGATTATCCGGTAAAGTCGTGGACAAGCTGTCTAGATTGAAAAATAATCATCACTGCATTCTAAAATTTATACAACTGTTTACTACAGTTTTCATCAATATACATAGCAAATTTTAGATAGATATACTAGTACCTTATAACGAGTATTTTCTGCGGTTGTCCATTTTTGCGGGATTTTGCGATTAGAACGAATCCGCAAAATTACAATCGCAAAATATTTCTTTAAAATGCATTCAGATATTCTGTAGATGCAAGTCTGAAAAGTGGAGTATATGTCTTCAGCCTCATTTAATGTCATTTCATAATTTTTACTCTTTATTCTAAAAAAAATTTTTTTTTGCTTACGGATTCTATTATCTTGATACGACTTAGGATTTATTTATGAAAACTAATTCATGGATATTAGAGCTTAGTATTAGTTCTAATGCACTGTCGGTCAACATTCCTTCAAATGAATTCAATCAATCAAACTTAAATATGGCAGTAATTTGTCGAATCCTCAGAATCTTTGATTCATATACCGTCAATAAATTTTGCGGCATAATGCTATCGCAGAAATTAAAAACGCAAAAATAAATTTGATTCCTTTCAGGGGTCTTATTGCAAAAATTTCCAACTGCAGAAAATACCCATTATATGGTATGCTTAAATAAACAAATTTTATGTTGTGTGTGATATCGCCTTACGGCGCACGAATGATAACGTCAAAGTGTGTGAAGCAGCGTCTTGTTTTCTCTTGGCTTAAAAAAAGTTGGATAAGCCTCAGTTAAATTCGGGAATTTCATTGATGAACATACTTCCATTTCCCTTTATTCCTCCATAAACAGTCGAGGAACCAATCTCGCACACACATGGGACCATCTGAAGAGTCTAAGTAAGTTATGGACAGTATTCTCACTATTATTCAACTAATAGGCTATTTTATATCGACGGTCTACAGTGACAGCGTCTTTCGCTATTGCCAGTAGCAATTTGTTCTACCCGGGAACTCGATCAAAAAGACTCGCTTAGGAAACTCCCATTTCACTTATATGCTTAAGTTCTTTTTCTTCTCTAGTTATTTAAAGTCTCTAAGGGCGTCATTACTACCTCTAAATCAAACTAAATTGTTCTCGGGTATATATATATATATATATATATATATATATATATATATATATATATATATATATATATATATATATATATATATATATATATATATATATATATATATATATATATATATATGGTTGCTGTGGCTATAGACATTATTTCAAAATTAAGGCGCATTTGGCTCTAGTCTTTGGCACCCTTTTTCAGCTCTTCAGTCTTTTTTATTTAAATGTTTCGTTTCGGATTACCAATGTTTCGGCATTAGCATCATTGAAGAGACATAATTTGTCGAAATGCCTATCTGGTGCATCAAAATTGGTACCGTATATGATTTACATTACAGAAAAAGGATTTTTGTTTGCTTCAGCAAAGATAAAACGCGCACACTTTAGACATATTCAAAATTTAGAATCATTACTGAAGTGTTTACAAAAGAAATAAGTGCTTTGTACTTTCTACAGAGCGTCATGTAACAAGCTCTAGCAGATTGTACTTGATAAATTGTTTAAAATACTAGCCAATTTATTTGAAAATAAGAAAAAAAAATATTCTTCATTTCAATTGTTTGGTTTACTATCAGAATTAATTTATCCATGGGTGGATTGATAAACCTACATTACTTAAATTCAAGAATATGATTTGTCATATTTTAAATAAAATACATTCAAGCCAGTATGGCAATGCCTTTAGAGGTCTGAAAGCTATAAGGAGACAAAACGTGCTTATATCCGTAGGATTCATGGACCTGGATAGCCTTTGACAGCTCTATACCCATAACAATTTATCTCTGAAATAATACCAAGTATTTAAAATACAAACTGTTGACAGTGGGCAGGAGAAAGAATGGGTAAACTGGTAAGGGCATATTGATTTAACGCTTATATTCGTCTCCTTCATTATGTCTAATATACTGCTTTTAATGTATGTTGTTTTGGATGAAAGTGAAAATAAATTTTGTATCCTGATTTACATAATATCTTTCAAAAACAAATATAATATATACAAATAAAAAAAAAAACACACACACAAACAGACAAGAAATTAAATTGTTTTTCATTATAGAAAAATTGGCATGTATTTTTATTAAAATTAAATGGACCATTCAGATAGGAAGGGTAGATTAAATCCGGGTTTTTTGTCATTTAAAAAATTGGTACAATTTGCCATACCGTTCTCGGTGATTTAAAAGAAAAAAAAAACACGCAAAAAAAGAATTAAAAAAAAAAAACAACATGAAAGGCAGAATCTACCTTCTAAATTCATCCGGTTTTTAAAGGATGACAGCAAATGCAAACAGTTTATGCATCTGTGAATTATATCTAGGTCATCTGAGTCATTTAGGTTCCTGTCCCATATACGTCATTGAACTTTGAAACATTTTAAACTTCTTTTTCTGAAAAAGCTAAAATAAATTCACAAATACTGGCACGCAACATCTATGCATGAAATTAAATAAAAATGTTGTGAATAATTTAGTCTCCTGGGGCGTCATGGGTGGTGCCACGAGAGAGAGAGAGAGAGAGAGAGAGAGAGAGAGAGAGAGAGAGAGAGAGATTTCTTTACATCCATTTGGGTATACGCATATGTTACTCATATCCAAATTCATTTTCTATGGGGTTTAATATAGAATTACATATATATATACATTTCGCAATGAACACGATAGGTAAAATCCGGACTATCAGTTTTTGTAATTGGATAAATCAATCTAGACAACTCATATACATAGTATTGAATGTGTGGAATAGAATGTTGTTGCTATGACATTATAATAAGTAGACTTGATATTTTTAAGGGGGTGTACATTTTGTTAAATTTCCCCATTATTATTTGGTTTTGAATTTATAAAAGACCCTTTGACATTTTGAAATATATTGTTTTATGATTAATATTTACTATTTTTAAGTGTGCTATTTTTTTTTATGTATGGATAATTTCATCAGATTGTTGCACATTGTAAAGAAATTCCTTATGGATGAGTTTTAAATTTTGTTTTGATTGTTTTGAACATATTTTATTGTATAGTTAATACAAAGGGATTGGTTAAAAGTTCTATCAACTTAGGATAACCTTTCCCTGTAATATATACAATATTTATAACTATAATGATAACTATAATTATTTACAGTTGTAGTGAAAATGTAAAGTTATACATGATATATGTACAAAATATTTCAAAGACACTTACTAAGGGCCTATAAAGATGCATGTAAATGATTACACAAATTACAACAATGCTTGTCAAAATAATAATAATAATAAACATTTACACTTTAAATTTTACACATATATCAGTCGAACCAAATTTAAAGTAAATTAAATGGTATAAGGTAATCATAGAAAAATCCTTTTCTTTTTATTAATTTGATTTACCTTATGAGAAACAATTTAACTTACAAGAATTGTTTAGTATAGCGTGTTTTCGTACGTGAAAAACAGACAAAACTTCAAAAATGTAAGTAGAAATAAACAAAAGCAAAAGCTTTAATTGTGGAATGAAAACCAAAGTTTTCTTGTAAATTTGTAGCTCGTAAATTCGTAAATTTACATACCTTTTCATTGGTCAT